ACACATAACGTACAAAATATACATAAAATAAAACAAGCATAACGTACAAAATATACATAAAATGCAACAAGCATAACGTACAAAATATACATAAAATAAAACACATAACGTACAAAATATACATAAACTAAAACAAGCATAACGTACAAAATATACATAAAATAAAACACATACAAATGCAACAAGCATAACATACAAAATATTGATAAGGCTGCAGGACTGCTTGTGGTGTACTCTGAGCCGTGAGAGACTGCCTCACAGCCCACCAGGACACTTGCAGCTTCATTGAGAGCTTTCTGTAGATCTGTTTGGCTGCACCTGAGCAGACGGGTGGAGCAGCGCTCTGGTGGCAGGGCTAAGAAAAGGGGAACCAGTTACTTCTCCTCCTCCATGTAAATATGATTCAAACCCCAGAACACTGGAAAGCCTCTGTGTTTAGAATCTGACCTTTCACGCTATGTCAGTTTCATACTGGACCCTGATTGGCTACAAACTATTAGTGATCATAAATCCAGCAGGTACAGTACGTGCAGGTGTGTTAAACCGTGCGACCTCCGTCCTTCAGCAGAGGAAAACCAGCTCATTCTGTACCGTCATGTCATGTTGTTTGTCCTGAGTTTAACCTCTAAGGCATCCTGCAGCCTGAAAGACACTACTCAGGGCTCTGCAGACTACGTTTGTCTGTTAATAATAATAATGAGCTAATAATTTACAGGTGATATTCTCCTGGAAAAGGATACACAAGGTCATTATTATGAAGTCATATATAAAAGAAAAGCTTTATGCAGGTAGGTTAGATGGAAATGTTGTGATAGGAAGCCGTTTGTTAAATAGAACCAGGATTAATAAACATAGTCCAGGTCCTTTCAGATGTTTCTGTTATGACAGTAACTAATGAGGAGCAGGAACTCTGAACGAATGAATGAAGCTCTGTGTTCTGACTCGCTCTGAGTGGGCGGGAGGAGAATTCCACTGCAGCCTTTTTATTGGCTGAGACCGTGAGTGGGCGGGAGCTGGAATGAGACAGCAGCCAACCAGAGAGCAGAGAGTGTGTTTGTGTTTTTGTGATGCCTCTCACTGGTTTAGAGGAGACGCGGAGAGACGGAGGTTTAGTTTAAGGTAAACATCTGGACGAGGCGGCTGCTTCTGATTGGACCTGTGAGCTCACAGAGAACCAGCCAATCACAGACAGCCTGGATGGGAATTTACTTTCCAAAAGACAAGAGACGGTGTGATATGAGGGACAAAGGACCTTAACAAGGGACAACAAGGACTCTGGACCTTAACTAGGGACAGGAGACCTTAACGAGGCACAACAAGGACTCTGGACCTTACGAGGGACAGGAGACCTTAACGAGGGACAGGAGACCTTAACGAGGGACAGGAGACCTTAACGAGGCACAACAAGGACTCTGGACCTTAACGAGGGACAGGAGACCTTAACGAGGGACAACAAGGACTCTGGACCTTAACGAGGGACAACAAGGACTCTGGACCTTAACGAGGCACAACAAGAAGTCTGGACCTTAACAAGGGACAAAGGACCTTAACAAGGGACAACAAGGACTCTGGACCTTAACGAGGGACAGGAGACCTTAACGAAGGACAACAAGGACTCTGGACCTTAACGAGGGACAACAAGGACTCTGGACCTTAACGAGGGACAGGAGACCTTAACGAGGCACAACAAGAAGTCTGGACCTTAACAAGGGACAGGAGACCTTAACAAGGGACAACAAGAAGTCTGGACCTTAACAAGGGACAGGAGACCTTAACAAGGGACAACAAGAAGTCTGGACCTTAACAAGGGACAGGAGACCTTAACAAGGGACAACAAGAAGTCTGGACCTTAACAAGGGACAGGAGACCTTAACAAGGGACAACAAGAAGTCTGGACCTTAACAAGGGACAGGAGACCTTAACGAAGGACAACAAGGACTCTGGACCTTAACGAGGGACAGAGGACCTTAACGAGGGACAGAGGACCTTAACGAGGCACAACAAGAAGTCTGGACCTTAACGAGGGACAGGAGACCTTAACGAAGGACAACAAGGACTCTGGACCTTAACGAGGGACAGGAGATCTTAAAAGGGGACAGGAGACCTTAACGAGGGACAACAAGGACTCTGGACCTTAACGAGGTACAGGAGATCTTAAAAGGGGACAGGAGACCTTAACGAGGGACAACAAGGACTCTGGACCTTAACAAAGGCCAACAAGAAGCCTGGACCTTAACAAAGGACAGGAGACCTTAAGAAGGGACAACATGAAGTCTGGACCTTAACGAGGGAAAGGAGATCTTAACGAGGGACAACTAGAAGTCTGGACCTTAATGAGGGACATAAGTCCTTAACAATCTGAATTGTGATTGGTCGGCAGGTCCCTGCAGTCTGTTGCTCAGCTCTGATTGGACGGTCATGTTTGACGGTGGGCTGTGATTGGTCGGAGATGTTTGGTAGTGTAAAGAAAATGATCTCGGGGAAACGGCAGCAGCCCCCTCCCACCACTGACCCCGTCCCCTGGCCTCGCCCTCAGCGGCGCCCTCCTTCGA